CCCAGGGAACACACCACTGTGTTATTCCTGTAGGGGAGCAGAATTTACTATCCCAAAATGTGTCTCTTTGGCTTGATTATTTCTAACAGCAAAAGACTCAGAAAGAAACTTTGACTTTCCCTTTAACTGCCTAAAAAAATTTAAGATTAGAAGGCCTGTTCCAGGAAGGGGCTATCACCATGGATAACTATAGTATAATACGAACTAGGTATGGTAGACAGGGTGAAACCTAGCAAGGCCCATGTAATCAAAGTCCTCTCCATGTTCCATTGTCTTTGCAAGGCATGGCGAACATCTGTTTACCAAACATTTGCTTTTCCATCTCCATGTGATTTGCCTTTCTCCCCTTTAAAGTCCCATACCACAACACCCAACATTCTCTTTTGTCTTTAGTTGAAGATGATATATAAGGTGGTGGCTTCAGCCATATTGGCAAGTTACTCAGTTTTCCTGGGTTTCTCCCATGTGCACATGTAGTTAAATTTTGTTTGATTTTCTCTTGTTAATCTGCTTCATGTTAATTTAATTCTTAGACCAGCCAGAAGAACCTAGAAGGGTAGAGGAAAATTTCTTCCTCCCCTACAATCCTTGTGTCTCCACTCTTTCACAAGTGTTCTATAATGTGTTTAAGGTAAAGAACACGTGGCCTTCAGAATAAATTAAAAGTATTTATGGTTCTAACTCTTGCAGTGTTCAGATGAGTGACAGAGTCTACTCTTGAACATACTCAAAAAAATCCAGTATCTTTCAAATGCTACTATTTGTAGGGGAGGAAAATATTCTCCTCTACCCTCCTAGGGTCTCTGGCTGGGCATAAGAATTAAACTGACATAAGACAGATTCATAGGATAAAAGCATACAGGCTTTAATTATTATGTTTTAAATGTACATGGGAGATTTCACAAGAAAAATGAAGACCCAAAGAAGCAATGAATGCTTATATACTGAGTTGGACAAAGAGTAGTAAATTGTGAAAAATGTAACAAGGCAAAGGGACTGAGCTAGGGTAGTTAATTGGGTGTAGTAACTGGGAGGATAAGGGTTAATTTAACAAGGTTTTTTGTACAGATTTCTCTCAGCCTCAACTTTCTATTCTTGGTGATACGAATGTCTTTTTCCTTCTAGTATAGTGGGAACATCTTTCACATGGGAATTTCATCTCCTGCTATTAAGAAAAAGAAGGAAGTTCAGAATGTCCTTCTTGCAGCTGCTATTTTTCAAGTTCTTTTAACTTAAAATTGTCAATAAGCCAGAGCAGCATATTTTGGGATGGTGAGTTCTGGATTCATTCAACAATAACCTTGACGCCAGCTAGTTTTTCCTCAAGTGTGTTCAAGTCACATTATACTTTTTTTACTTACATTGAGCAAAGAACAGATATTTACTTTCTTTCATTGCTCCTACAAACCAATGGGCATCAAAGTGTCCTCCTCCCGGAGTTGGAGTTGTTATTAGGGAACAACTACTTTTCCTCTCATATTCATATGGACAAATTTACCCCCATCACCTCCCTCCCCATCATCTGCCCTCCACATTTTTTCCAAAGTCAAGTGCCCAGAATTTACTGATTTTGAGAACTTGCTGACAGGATTTCATCAAGTTGTTCTACTCACAGCAGATGCCAATGCTTGTTGATTTGCTTGACTTAGGGTGATTTGGATGACTTGAAGATTTCTTCTCATCCATGATTCAATGGAGTAGAGATTCTTAAGGTTATGACTGTCTGTACTCCTGCTTCTATTCTGGGTTTTTGAAGCAGGCCTTAATCTTGGCTTCTATTTTCCCTAGCCTTGTACATACCCACTGCTCCATCCAAAATGACCTACAGTTTGTTCAGGAAATTAGAACAGTTCTACCTTCTGGCCCATGGCTCCTGACATTCCCCTGGCTATGAAGGCATCTGGACTTTTATTGAAATATTTATTCTTCCTACTTAGCTACCTTCTTCACCTCTTTCAAGTTTGAAATCAATTGACACCCTCCTGGTGATGGTTTCCCTGCCCATCTCTGTTTGTCACACATGCCCTTTCCTTACTTTATTTTTCTCCATAGCACTCATCACCAGAAATTACACTCTATACTTTTATTCCATATTCAGCTTACTGTGTGCCTTCCCCGACTAGAAGAGCATCACCACAAGACCATAGGTTGTTGCCTGCTTTGTTCACTGTTATTTTCCATGCACATAGAACACTCTCTGGCACTTAGCAGGTGCTTAGTAAATATATATTGAACAAATGCTGGATTCACATCTTCCTCATGAATTCTCGTGATCCTTCTAATTCACAGTGATTACTCTTCTCCTTTATGTGCTCTTATATTATTTATCCTTAAAACCTTCATTTTTGTATATAGAATATGCTCTACTATTTAATCTTCAGGCATGCAAGCCCTCCCTTTTCAAAACAGAGTATAAAGTCTTTGAAGCGGCATCTGAGAGAACTTTTTACATCTCCATCATTGGTCTTGCAACATTTCAAAGACAGTGGGCCAATGGTTGTTGATGTTTCTTGTTGTTGTTGATGGTGAAGATAATGATAAAAAATAAAAGAGAGGTTGAATATTGTTAAGAGAAAAAAATCATGAGTCAGAAGACTTGAGAGAAGGTAAAAAAGAAACAGAAGATGCACATCTTGACTCTCCTACCAAGTTTCCTGGATCAAAAGATGGCTCTCTGACAGAGTTGGCTTAGGAGTAAATTTTCTCCCACGCAGGCTTTTGTTCCCTTTACCATCCTGTTTGAGACTCAGTAAGACCTTTAGGCTTGAGCCTCCAAAAGTTTCTAAAATAATTATCCACCTCCACCTAGGCCCCATCTACTTCTATCTCATGGATCACAAAAAGAAAAACAGTTAAGATTTCTCTTGGCAGTCTCTCTTTACTTTATGTTCCTCGATGTGAGAGCTTAGACCAGGCAAGGACTGTATAATATTAATATATCATTTTATAATACATACAGTAATCTCTTTGTAAGCATTTCTGTGCTATGGGGTGTTTGTTCCCTCATTTCCTAAAAGAGCCCCTAGACTCCTTGCACTTGTGTGCTTCAGTGTTTTCAGCCCTCTAACAAGGGGTGCAGTAGGATATGGAGGATGATGGAGACGTTTTCCGAAATAACCAGAATCCTGTGTGTTGTAGCCAAATGAGAAAAAAAGGAGGGTAGGAGGTTTGGAAATGGCGCTAGAGAATGATGACAGACTTTTCCAGCCAGGAGTTTGGAGTCCTTGGTCTCATTAACTCAATGTCACCTTGAGCAAGCTGAAAAACCAATCTGGGTCTCTCGGTTTTGCAATCTCTAAAATGAGAACAGTACTCGCTCTACATACCTTCAAGGTGATCCCAGAAAGCCTCATATGTAAGATATGAATGAAATGGAAGAATTGCTGTCCTACGTCAGCGGCTGGATTATCCAGTTCTTGCCTTCAGTTTTAATTGTTCAGATAGTTTAAGAAGACTTGGGCTACGACAGAGAATTGTTTCTTTCTCCCTTTTCTCTGTTGTGAGGTTTAAAAGACTTAAAGCAATGCCTGGCACAGAAATACCTCTTGAATGTTATCTATTTAGAAATTGCTCTGCCTTTATTCCTTTTCAAAATCATGAGACACAATGCTGGAAAAGGATCAGTAGCCAAAAGTCAGAACAATGAGGACAAATAAATCCTGCTTCTGATTGCGTTTAAGAATAGTATTTTGAGAAAACCAAACTGATTAAAGTATTAAATTAGTATTAAAGTAAAGGTTTATCAGACCGTATTAGATTGGAGCAAACAAAAACCTGACTCTAGATGGAGGGATTGTATGCAAACGAGGGATGCTGGTTCTGATTTCCCATTGGTTAGTTGATGATAGCCAATGGGAGAATTGCACGCAGCCTACCTCCAGTTACTATAAATACTTTTCTTGATGTCATTTGTGCTATGTTGCGCTCACTCTTTCTTTGAAAGCGTTTGCTTGTTATTCAAATAGTCATGTCAGGACGTGGGAAACAAGGCGGCAAGGCTCGCGCCAAGGCCAAGACCCGCTCTTCTCGGGCCGGACTCCAGTTTCCTGTCGGCCGTGTGCACCGCCTACTCCGTAAAGGCAACTACTCCGAGCGGGTGGGAGCTGGCGCGCCGGTGTACCTGGCGGCGGTGCTGGAGTACCTGACGGCCGAGATCCTGGAGCTGGCGGGCAACGCGGCCCGCGACAACAAGAAGACGCGCATCATCCCGCGTCACCTGCAGCTGGCCATCCGCAACGACGAGGAGCTCAACAAGCTCCTGGGGCGCGTTACCATCGCGCAGGGCGGAGTCTTGCCCAATATTCAGGCGGTGCTCCTGCCGAAGAAGACCGAGAGCCACCATAAGGCCAAGGGCAAGTAAAATGTGTTTTTGGTACAGGCCGTCTTTTGGTCCGTTACCAAAAAAAAAAAAAAGAAAATAGTTTACAAAGGCTCTTTTCAGAGCCACTCACCGTTTCCATTGACAGAGCTGTGATGCTTCTAATTGTTGGCCGAGGGAAATCTTTAGTCCCCATGAAATCCTCAGAAACACTGGCTGTGAAGAAAAAAGCCATACACGACTCTATGGTAAATGCGGCTACAGCATTGAACGGGTTAACGGTATGGGTGACTGTCTAAACAGAAAGAGCATCACTTTCCGGGTTCCAGCAGTGACTTTTGAAAATTTATTCACAAACACAAAGCTTCACATTTTGGAGAACGAAAGAATAGCGAAAAAGGCGCCGGATTCTTAAAAAGTAACTTCAACATTTTATGTTGCTGTTCAGGAACACCGACATCCTCTCCAGATTCAACAGTTTATAAATACATTGCACACTTGCTGAAGCAATTGAGAGTAAGTTACAGATCCTTGACACTTGGCGCTTATAAATCAACAGGGTTTTCCTAATTGTCCACAATATTCGTACCACACTCAAGAAAATCTGAATATCATTTTAGATGCAGCCCATTTGTAAACTTCCCTAAGCACTTCCAAAATATCTTTGACGGTTGCTTTAAAAAAAGAAAATCCAATGGAGGTTTCCGCGTTGCTTTGTGTGATTACCTTTATATTTTAAGACCTCGGAAGCTTTCAGTGCAAGATGTTTCTCCGTAGTGGGCAGAGAAGCGAAAGGGTCAATAAAATGACGTCACCGTAGCTCGGTGAAGGGCAGGGCTTCGGATTCATTCACCAACCTGAAAGCAGCTCTTAATCCGGGCAGCCAGGCACGAAGATGGACCAATCCGGGAAGGGCGCGGGGACTTTTGAATGTTCTTGGGCCCAATAGTTGCTGGTCTGGCTGTATAAAAGAAGGATGGCTCCATGCTTTATACTGGCGTCTGTGAGGACACTCTCTGTGTGCGGTCGTCATGGCTCGTACTAAACAGACAGCTCGCAAGTCTACTGGCGGGAAGGCGCCGCGCAAGCAGCTGGCAACCAAAGCAGCTCGTAAGAGCGCGCCGGCCACCGGCGGCGTGAAGAAGCCCCACCGCTACCGGCCCGGCACGGTGGCGCTGCGCGAGATCCGCCGCTACCAGAAGTCCACCGAGCTGCTGATCCGCAAGCTGCCCTTCCAGCGCCTGGTGCGCGAGATCGCGCAGGACTTCAAGACCGACCTGCGCTTCCAGAGCTCGGCCGTGATGGCGCTGCAGGAGGCGTGCGAGGCCTACCTGGTGGGGCTCTTCGAGGACACCAACCTGTGCGCCATCCACGCCAAGCGCGTCACTATCATGCCCAAAGACATCCAGCTCGCTCGCCGTATCCGCGGGGAGAGGGCGTAAACTGGTTTCCCCATTGAGTGCCAACGCTGAACCCAAAGGCTCTTTTAAGAGCCACCAATCATTTCAGTGAAAGTAGCTGTGATAGCTTACTTACCTACCATTTTGTAAAAGACAGTACGTGACCGAGCTTACAAATGGAATTTCACTTATTAATACTAAGCTTATGATAGGTATATTAGCTGGCGGGTATGATCGCCAGTTACAAAAACAATGGGACAATGTAGGCTATTGATCCATTTCTCCAAGATAAACTCGTGTAGCTTTCTTAGCAGTTGAAGCAGTTCTCAACCACAGTGAGAAAGGTAGTCTTTTTGTTTTCTTGATATGATCTTAAGCATATTAAACTATTATGATGAGTAATTTCACCTCCAAGAACAAAAATAACCTGAGAAATGTTCACTGGTGTCCATGAGGTTTTTTGTAAAATGTTTAGGGTCAAAAAACAAGCTTGAAATCTAGAATTCAAATACATTAATCTTTTCAATATATTTTTAGACCTTACACCCCAATATATATACATCAGATTTCTTAGAACATTTGTGTGTCTTTTTATTCCTTTTACCTTTTAGATTAACCTGAAATTCTGTTGTAAAGGAGGTATCTGCTTCATATTTTGTAGCTAGCTACCCACTTTTTGTAATTGCTAATCTGTTGACCAAGCATAATTTATCAAACCCCTTTATTACTTACTAAGTTAATTTTATATATGTGGCCTTGCTTGTAAATATTCTACTTGGTTGCATTGCTTTATCTCTTCTAGGGCTATGCACCATGGTACGCTATACCACAGTTTTTTCACAATTCTTGGCTGTAGTTCCTACTCAAATATAGGATTTACAAGTCGTAACCATTTTCCTTTTATTGATGTTGCTTTCATGTTTTTTGGAGTTGGGGATTCAGTACTAGAAGGAAGGTGACTCACGTGGGAATAGTGGCTGAATGTAAGAAGAAAAATAACATTTACTTTAAACTTTAATTTCCATATTTCACCCAATGATTGTTTCAGAAAAACATTTTTTTATTGTATAGCTTTTACACTATGTTTTACAAATTAACTTTAGAACAACAATGCAGAATGCTGAAGAACATGACAGTCACCAATTCCAAAGGCTTTGCTGCAGTTTTCTTTTTCACACCTTATTCCTTATCCCTAAAATTCTTTCTTTGCCTACATCTGAGGTATGAATTGATGCACCATGATAAAATCACTTGAACAACTCAACAATGAAAAACACAAAACACCCAAAATTTTAAGCTTGAATTGTGTAGTTTACTTGGATTTATTTGCATTCCAGGGTTTTAATAAAAAACTTTTCGTTTACAATATAATATTTGCATTTTTTTTAATGATAAGGACATTTCTCTATGTGTGTGTGTGTGTGTTTTATTTTTAACATTTCATTTTTCGAGACTCTGGTACAAGCAATTCTGCCTGCCACAGACCTTGTTACCCATATAAGGGGTCTGTCAGAGGCACCAATGCCCTTGGCTTAAACCAAGGTGACTTTGCCTCCCAGCTCTGGGCCCCAGCTGAAGTCCAAGTATCTTGGTTTTTCTTGGTATAGCTGTGTTGGCTCCTATGTACACTGACTTTTTCCCCTCAGATTTTATGTATCTATAGGAAAAAAGGTGTTTTAGGTACAGGGCCAGAAAGGACAACTTTTTAAAAAAGTAAAAGTGCCCATTACTGTCTGAGGGTCAGATGGACAGGAGACAGTGGCTAAGACTGGCTGCTCCTTTCCCCCACTCCCCACCCCCCAGCCAAGGAACATGGATTTGGCTTTAAGTCTTCATTTACTTAACACCCCAGCAGAACAACTGCCTAGGGTCTAGGAAAAAAGGTTAGCACCATCTTAAAATTCATAACCTTGTTAATCCTTCTACAAGAGTATGTACTCTGGAAGCTGGCAGCACGGAGCAGCATTTGAATGCTAGCTTGCCAGGGTTCAAATTCAAGCTTTACTACTTCCTGTGTCATCTTCGACAAATCAGTTTCTCTATCATCAGAAAAGTGGTGGTAACACTACCCACTCAGGTATTGGGTATAACTGGGATAATATGAGTTGATTTTTGGACACATAGCATTATATAAATGCTATTAATTTTCCTGAGCTGTGTATCATTTTCCCTTGTACTCTAGGATTTTTAAAAATTTGAAATAAAAACTCAAACTTTAGCTTCTAAATTTCCTTTTCATTTGGCATGACTTAGTTGCATAGATTATGCTCAGTTTAGAAATAAAACTTCAGCAGATATTATAAAATCAAAGAATGGAAGAAATTCACATATGCGAAAGAAAATTTGCTGAACATTTTGGACTGGAGGGTAGCGCCAGCATATTAATATCACTGCCTTAAGCATCTATTACTTTATATTAGGGGAGGGACTAAGGTGGGCTGGAGACAAAAAGGGGGTGTTTAATGTACAAATTGTATCTTTTAAATGGCTTTTGCAAGGCCCTCTGTCAAACAGGGATTTTCTTTCCCAGGCACCACAGAGTGATGTTACCCCACAAGCTGAAGTTTACAGCTAATGTTGTTGGAGTCTAGAACTAGTTTTGGTTTGTTAGACTCTCAGAGGAGAGGAAGAGGAAGTCCAAGTCAGAGTGTGTTTTTCAGACTTAAAAATTTAGCGGTAGCCCTTCCAGTTGTCCCAGCAGAAGTGACTTACTGGTCAATGAGTGTTTTAGGAAGATTTAAAACAACAGTGGGAAGTCGGTATAGAGATTTGAACTGCCCTTCAGGCTTGGCTGCAAGAAAGCCAGGAGGCTGAGATTCTCAATGCACCTTGGGAGAGGGTGCAAAAGAACGTTTCCAGACAACTATTTTTAACATGTCATGTCTGAAAAACAAAACAGAATCCGTCAATGTCTTGTACTTTATTAAATGCTGTGATTAAAAAATATCCTCTCTAATACAGATGTATTTGTGTCATCAGTATTGTGTTGGGAGTAAAAGCCTGAAAATGAGAGCTCAGGGCAATACGCTAAGTCCAGGCAGATTCTTTAAGTACAATAACAGCTAAAAATAAGTCCCATTTATGAAGGACTTCTTTGTGCCTATCTCTGTTCTAACACTTTGCTTATATTAGCTAATTTAAGGCCTCACCAAAGTCCCATGCGGCCTATCATTACCCCAGCTTTACAGATAAGGGAACCAAAGGCAAGGTTACAAGGTCACACAGCTGTAGGGGAGGAAAAATAATTTGCCCTCTACCCTTCTGATTTCTTAGCTGAGATCCCTGTAATAAAAGATAGATTAACAAGAGAAAAACAAACAGAAGTTTACTAACATGTATACCTCATGCGTACATGGAAGATACCCAGGGAAAAAGGAGTAATTCAGAGTGGTGGCTTAGAATTCAGACTTAAATACCATTTTAATAGGGAAAAAGGAGGGGGATTGTAGGCCTCTGAGGGGAGAGAGATGATTTTTAAGAGAGATGAATGGACACTTAGAATAGATGGGAGGTATGATAGTTTGTGACAAGATTTGTCTGGGTGTGGTGTCAACTTTTAGTCTTTCCTGTGATGTCAATCCTCCCTGGTTAATGAAACTCTCTGAGAAGGGATTTATGGCAATTGAGTTCCTTTTGGAGGATCTGTCTTTAGGAAGATAAGTGGAGTTCAGGAAAGTCTATCTCTGCATTTGGTGTTTTTCAAAGGGCCTACAGCTCAAAATAATCAACATACCTGAAGGGGAGGAAAAATAATTTTCCCTCTACCTTTCTAGGTTCTTGGCTGAGACCCCCTGTATAAAAAGCAGATTGACAAAAGGAAAACAAACAGAATTTAATAGCATATATACTTCAGGTGTACCTGAAAGAGACCCAGGAAAACTGCACAAAACTTCCTAAATTGGTCCAAGCCACCACCTTAAGTATCATCTTCAGCTAAAGAAAAAAAGACGTGGGGACAGCGGGGAGCCAGCTATGGGAGGCGACAAGGAAAGGGACAGCAAACAAGAGTAAAGTTGTGATGCAGAATTATGTCCATGCCTTCTCCATCGACAAGATTCTCTGGTGATTTAGTCATCCTTCTCTTCCCGGTACAGAAGGGAGACAAAAATTGAGATTTCTTTTATAAATGTAAGTGTCCCTGACAAAAGAGTAAATTTTACTGTTTTTAGAGATTCTCCTGTGTCGGATGTTTCTTAAAAATAATCAGTTCAAAATAGTCCTTTTGCCAGAGACATACTTTGGGGTGGCATATTCTGCTACTGTTCACAGCTAACAATCACTCTCTTCTGAAGGAGAAAGAGCAGGACTTTGTCATAAAATACAAGCCCTATTGAAATTTTCAGCCAAAGATATTGCTTCAGATTCAAATAGCAACGAGAGCAAAAACATCGAAAGATTATAAGTGAAACGATTTACTCTGTTCTTTCCCACATAGTCCCCGGATCACCGCCCAGAGAGGGACGGAGCTGGTGGGTGCGTCAGCAGTTCCTCGTTTCCCGCCTGGGCTTTCAGTTCTCAATTAGGTCCGATTACAGCTTATAATTACTCCAGACGTATTAGCAGTCTCACTACTCCGGCTGGCACTTCAGACAATCATGTCTGGACGTGGTAAGGGTGGAAAGGGCCTAGGTAAAGGAGGCGCTAAGCGGCACCGTAAAGTGCTGCGCGACAATATCCAGGGCATCACAAAGCCCGCCATCCGGCGCCTGGCCCGACGGGGTGGTGTCAAGCGCATTTCTGGACTCATCTACGAGGAGACCCGTGGGGTGTTGAAGGTGTTTTTGGAGAATGTGATCCGCGACGCCGTCACCTACACCGAGCACGCCAAGCGCAAGACTGTCACCGCCATGGACGTGGTCTACGCGCTCAAGCGCCAGGGCCGCACCCTCTACGGCTTCGGCGGCTAAAGCCTCGTTTCTTTTCTTTCTAAAGGCCCTTTTCAGGGCCGCCCACTTGCTCTCAGAAAGGGCTGTGCGTGGCTTTTGTATTGTAGTCGTACTACAGTTATAAATCTTGATTTAAACGCTAACGTGGTTTTACCTTGGGTAGTAACTAGAGAAGATGGTTGGCTCCTTTAAGGACAGGCGTCCCTCCGTCTGTATGTTGACAGTGTAATAAGCAGCGCCTACCTTCCGCCAATCAGGAAGGAGCATCGAGACTGCAGACTGCGTGGGCCTGAGGCTGGAATATGGAACTGGAAAGAAAAGATGTCTGGAAGCCCCCGGACCCCCAATGGAGGACTGAAAGGTCAGGAGTCCCCAGCTCGTTAACGTGAGAGGGATCCCGCCTATCCCACGTCCCTTGTACAAGGAGTATCAACTAGGCTGTGGTTTAGCGAGGAGGCAGTTTCTCTCCCGTGTGGCAGTAGTCCTTAAGTACCGCGAGCTCGTTTTTAGCCGTAGCAGCGTTAAATATTTGTTCAAATTACGAGAGCCTGCGAATGTGCTGTGCTGCCAGCCGCTCGCAGGAAGCCAGATAGATTAAAAGAGGACATTGCCAGCAAGACTGTTAATTCTTTTTTGTGTGTGTGAGGAGCATCGGCCCTGAGCTAACATCTGCCAATCCTCCTCTTTTTGCTCAGGAATACCGGCCCTGGGCTAACATCCGTGCCCATCTTCCTCCACTTTATATGGGACGCCGCTGCAGCATGGTTTGACAAGCGGTGCGTTGGTGCCCGCCCAGACCCGAGCTGGCGAACCCCAGGCCGTCCCAGCGGAGCGCGCGCACTTAACGCTTGCGCCACGGGACGGCCCCTGAGTTAATTCTTATTGTATTTGTGAAACCCAGCATGAAAAGGTTAAAAAAATCTTCCCTGGGCTAGAAAGAGCAAAAACTTTGAGATAAGCTTTGCTTACTGCAGCTGTGCATATTCAGTATAATCAACTTGTTTAAAACTAACCAGGCCTTTCTGTCCCTCCTTAGTATATGAGTGAGCTGTCTTTCCCAGAAAATCAAGGTCCAGACACCAAGATAAAGACTCACAAGGCCAAATGCAGGCTGAAGATGAAAACTAACCAAAAAAGTCCAGACAGTTAAGGGAAAGAAATTCAGACTTCAAAGCCAAACGCAGGATGGTGGTGATTGGGGCTCTAAACAAGCTTGACATAAGGGAAGCCATATTGTAGAAAAGAAAAACTCTATTGTAACTTTGAATGACCTCTGACAAACCAACCCAGCTGGATATGCCCCCTCCAGGAGATCTAACTGCTCTGTAGATTTTAAGACCCCTGCTTCTGCATGTACCTCCCAGCTGCGATAAGATGATAACTGCTTTTCTGAGTTCCTTAGGAATGTGATGACCCCTGAACAGAGAATCTATGCTGATAGCCATCATCAGTGAAAACTGAAAGATCTGGTGTGGCATACCCAGTCTGTAACACCAGAAGGTCAACATTCCTAACCCCCTCCCCAATAACACAATGGCCTATATAACTGCTGTAAGATTTCATGCCCCCTTAAGATGGTTTTTTTAGACATTAGTCAGCCATCTTCCCTCTTGCTACAAGCTGTAATAATAAAGTCCTTTTTCTCCTACCACCTTCCCTCTTGACTATTGGCATGTCTTGTGGTGAAGACCCCACGTTGGTGAGTAACAGCAGGAAGGTGCCAACCAGCAAGGCCACATGCTCCCCCTCCCTTACCTAAAACCCCAGCACATGCTCCCCCTCCCCTACCTAAAACCTCAGCACATGCTCTCCCTCGCAACCTTTAAAACCCCTGGCCTCCCATCTTTCCGGGAGACAGGACAAATTTGAGAGCTCTCCTCTCCCGGCTGACATCACCCAAAGTAAAAACTCTTTCCTTGCCATAAGCCTGGTGGTCCTGTTTTTATTTGGCCCCTCTGCTGTGGTGGGTAAAGAACCTGTGTTTGTGTCCAGTAACTGGCCCTGAGTGACATCAGGAGAGGTCTGCACTTTGGCCTCACACCCCCAGACCCCCGCCCCCTCCTCCTCCACTGGGTCGCACGCGCCAGGCCTTCACTGTCATACCTCTAGAGTTTGAGCCAGATATCATCCTGAGTGTCGTCACCCCCCTAAAGCCGGCCGTCTTGGGTTTAAAGGTGCCTTGGCATTGCTGATTTGTGTTCTCATGCTGAGGCCCCTCCCTAAGCCTCTGGCTAAGCAGTTTGTAAATTCCCATTTACTAGACTAAGAGTGTCTGTTCTAATTCAAGACTAATTTCCTCTGAACACCCAGGCCTCTGGCAGGGCCTAACTTTGAGGTTGTAAGGAATCTCCCTCCTTTGTGGTAAAAGTGGATCTCCAGGCTCTCTTGCACCTTCCCCCTAGTTCCCTCCTTCCTCTCAGCTCATCTCTTCTTTCCTCTTCCTGCTGTAAATTGTAAGATTTTTTTTTTTTAACGAACCTTTCAAACACTACGTTATGGTTATAAAAAGTTGTTTGAAAGTATGTCCTCAAAGTGATAAATCAGCCAAGTGAATGATCTTGCATTTTTGATTTGCTTGAGAAATGTATCAATGGCTGCTTAAGAAAACAACTTTGCTGCCTGATTACTCTGCTATGATGTCTCTCCCTGACTCTGGAGGAGATACCGAATAGACAGTTGGCAAAGTGAAATTCTTGAGTTTGTAGGGGGAAGAGGGAGAATCTCCCTCTGCCCTTTTCCTTAAGGTTCTTATGGCTGGCCAAATAATCAACAAGACAGGTTAGCAGGAGAAAATAATACCAAGTTTAATAACATGTATACATGGGAGAAGCTCAGAAATGAGCAACTCGTCCCTCTGTCTAAGCTGCTTGCTTAAGTATTGCAGCTAAAGGCGAAGGAACGTGTTGGGGGTGGGTAGTGGCCTGGGACTTCAGAGGGCAGAAGGACAATTCTTTTCAGGGTCATCTATTGATAATTTGGTCAGGGAGAGATAGAGTTTTTTGATAAAAGGGGCTTGGTGCCCCTCGCATTGCAACATCTATTTTACATTATCTTTATAGCCATCATGATAGAAGATCTGTTCCAGGAATGAGCCACCATGCCAGATTCTCTAGGCAGTTAGTGGGGGAGGTCAAATATCCTTATTGTCTTCAGCTCAAAATAATCCGCATACCAGAGTGGTGCTTCCTGGGGCAGCTTGCCCTGAGCACCATCAAGTTCAAGAGAGAGGTCTGGACTAGAGATAAAAATTTGGGAATCATCAGCATATAAATGGTGAGACTGGATGAGATCACTAAGAACTTGAACACAATTTATTGCAGCACACTAATAGTAAATGAGTGGAAACAATGTAAATTGTCATTAGAAGGGACTGGATAACGTATTATCTACATCCATAAAATGGTGTCATAGTTCAGGCTGCTATAACAAAAATACCATAGACTGTGTGGTTTAAACAGCAAACACTTATTTCTCACAGTTCTGGAGGCTGGAAGTCCAAGATCAAGGCTCAGGCAGATTCGGACAGGACAGATTTAGTGTCTGGTGAGGACCCAGTTCCTGGTTCATAGATTGCTGTCTTCTCAATGTGTCCTCACGTGGCAGAGGGAATAGGCTAGAGAGCTTTCTGGGGTCTCTTTTATTTATAAAGGGCACTGATCTCATTCATGAGTGCTACATCCTCATGACCTAATCACTGCCCAAGGGCCTCACCTCCTAATACCATCACATTGGGGGTTAGGGTTTCAACATATGAGTTTGGGGAAGACACAAACAGTCCATAACAAATGGGCTACTACACAGCCCTACTAAAGAATAGGGAAACTGTACTCTCGTATAGACTCTCTGGAGTACCTTTGGCTCAGTTCTTGGGTCCCTTCTCTGTTTTTGGTGACCTTGCCTAGTCTCACCACTTATATGTTCTGTGTTATATAAAATAGTTTTTGTTCAACAGAAGAACACCATGGCCTAGCTGTCAGGTCTGCTTGTAGTTACACTAAAGCTTATGATAGTGTCAGCTTCCAGCTGTTTCTTATTCTCAATGGTTGTTTTTGGAGAGTAGCCTTAATCACCTCGCTCAACTTTATCAGTTTCCTTCTACCCACTTCAAACGTAATAAAACATATCATCTTAGAAAAATAGTGTTTGCAATATAAATCATCTCCCTTACCTCTCCCCTAATCTCTAGACTCACATATCCAACTGCATATTTGACATACCTACTTGAATTTCTAATGGGCATCTCAAAATTGTCCAAAATAGATAGATATCTTTTTTTGTTTGTTTGTTTTTTTGTGAGGAAGATCAGCCCTGAGCTAACATCTGTGCTAATCCTCCTCTTTTTTGCTGAGGAAGACCGGCTCTGAGCTAAACTCTATTGCCAATCCTCCTCCTTTTTTTCCCCAAAGCCCCAGTAGATAGTTGTATGTCATAGTTGCTCATCCTTCTAGTTGCTGTATGTGGGACGCGGCCTCAGCATGGCTGGAGAAGCCGTGCATTGGTGCGTGCCTGGGACCCAAACCCGGGGCCACCAGTAGCGGAGCGCTCACACTTAACCGCCAAGCCACAGGGCCGGCCCCAAAATAGATAGATATCTTGACACATAAATCTTTCCTTCCTCCAATATTCTCCACCTCAATAAACGTAACTCCATTCTTCCAGTGGCTCAGTTCAGAAACTTTACATTCCTGTTTGACCTCTTTCTCTTACAACTTTCATCCACTCTAGGCAGCTCCATCTTCAAATTCAATCAGGCCACCTTTCACTACATACTCTGCTGCTGCTCTAAGGCAAGCCACAGTCACCTTTTGTCCCTATGGCCCTAGTGACTCCTAACTAGTCTTTCTGCTTCCACTCTTGATGGCTACTGTTTTCTCTACCCAGCAGCAAGAGTGATCCTTTTAAAAGGTGTCATGTCCACCATCTGCTCAAAACATTCCAATGGATTTCCATTTTCTTCGTAATAAAAGCCAGTGTCCTTACCATATCCTCCAAGGAGGGTGAACAAAAATTCCAGTTTGGCTGAGTCTGAGGGGTTTCTGGAAATGTAGGACTTTCAGTGGTAAAACTTGGAAAGTCCCAGGCAAAGAGGGTGGGTTGGTCACCCTACCTAGAAGGGCTTACCTGATCTGGCCCCTGGCACCCTATAACCTTATTCTCTATCACATGTCTTTGTCTTCACTGAACTTTTTGTTCTTTCTGGAATGGACCAAGCATGTGCCAGTATCAGAGGCTTTGTACTTATTTTTCTTTCTTTCTAGAAGTATCTTATCCTGGTGTAGGGGAGACAAAATTTTACCTCTACCCTCTTAGGGTTTTCTGCTGGGCCTAAAAATTAAATTGACATAAAACAGATTAACAAGAGAAAAGCATAGAATTTATTTATATTTATATAAATATAAATATACATATATAGTTATACATCTAGACATTGGGGTAGGGTACATCAACGTATTTTACGTGACACAGGCACTCTCACAAATAAATGAAGACCCAAAGAAGGAATTAGAATTGAACACTTATATACTGAGTTGGACAAAGAGTAGTCAATTGTGAAAACGTGACAAGGCAAGGGGGCTTGGGCTAGGGACTTAACTGTAGAGAAGTGATTAGGAACATAAGGGTTAGTTTACAAGTTTTGTATAGATTTATCTTGGCCTTGACTCCCCATCCCTGGTGATAAGAATGTTACTTTCCTCCTGGTATGTGAAGGACACTTTCCCTATGGGGACTTTATCTCTTGCTTTCAAGAAGAAAAAGGAGAGGTCAGAGCACCCTTCTTGCACCTGCTGTTTTTCAAGTGCCTTTAGTTCAAAATAATATTTATGTCGAAGAGGCATATTTTGGGGTGCCGTATTCTGCTACCTTTCACTGTATATCTGCATAGCTTCAGAACTCATTTCATTCAGGCCTCTGCTCAAACATCCCCTTATGAAAGAGACCTTCCCTGAGCACTCCTTGTAAAATAATACCCCTTTCTGCTCATTTACTAAAATAGCATATGTATCCCCACCTGTAACAATATATATTTATTTTTTGTTTGTTGTTCTGTCTCCCCCAACTAGAATATAATTCCTTGAAAGGATTGAAAGTGGGGACTTTGTTCTGTTCCTGAAGTATCCCTGGAACCTAGAATGGGGATGACATCTAATAGGTAATCTACGAAGGTTTATTGTGTTGAGGAGGAAAAATAATTTTCCTTCTACCCTTCTAGGTTCTTGACTGAGGCCTCCTTGTAATGGAAAAAAAAAAAAAAAAGAGTAAAAGGAGAAAAACAAATTTAATTACATACTTATGTACAGGAGCCCCACAAAGATATCAAATTCAAGGAAGTGACCAGAGCAGGAGGCTTTTATCTCTTTTACACAAAGAAACAATAAATTTGTGATGAATTGACAAGACAATGGGGTGTGGGCTAGGCGTAGTAAAACAGCGAAGAAGTAACAAAGTTTGTTCACACTCTGATGATAAGGATGTCCCCCCCTGTCTGGTACAGAGAGGATACCTTTCACTTGGGAGATTTATGTCCTGCTTTCAGAGAAGAGGGAAGTGAGGGGAGGTCAGAATGACTTTCATGCTTCTGCCATTTTCTCAAACTCCTTGAGCTTAAGATATTTAACATGCCAAGGTGCCATATTAGGGGGTAGCATGTCCTGAACCCCATCAGTTGAAAGAATGCCTGAATGAATTTTCTACACAAGTCCCCAGGCCCTCCCTAACCCCCAGGCTCACCAGAGTGCTGCCATCATTGATTGCCCATCTTCAATTCCTTGACTTGCCGCTGCCTGAATCTATGAGCATGGCAGTTTTTCTCTAGATCTGAAGAATGATGCAGAAGTGGCAAATCAGGCAGCATTATTTTGGTTCTGAGCAAGGACTTCATGAGTGTTAGGACTGAGGCAGGCTCAGAGGTTTTCACCCAGAGTGGTGGTGGGTATGACTAAATGTGCATGATACTATCTCAAGGCTATGATCTAAAGAAGCCAGGCTGGCTGACCATAACAGAAGCTAGTGTTTCTATTGTTATAGCAACCACACCTCCCCTCCCATATAGGGAATCAGTATCACACACCTCTCTACATATATTCTGGGTTGAGGATAGGGTACTGTGTCTGATTTGCTCACTGGTGTACCCCAATGCCTACAACAGTATCTGACACATTACCTGAGGTTAATAAATATCTGTTGAAGGAACACCAGCTATGGAGGACACAAGATGACCACTCTCCCAACCAGGCCCATTTTTGCTCCTCTGGCCATCCAGGATGCAGCTCTGAATTCTCCTCTGTAAATTAAACCGGGCTAGGTACTTTTATCATTCCCCAAGAAATCTTAGAGGACAGTTATCAGGTGGAAAATGGGACCTAAAAAGCTAGGAGAGACACTGGCTGAAGCTAACAGCCCTCTAAAACACAATACCAAAAAAAACCTAAGGACAGAGGCATTTGTGAATATCTCTTTAGATGGGAATAAGATGTTTCTCTATCAGCCAACTTCAAGTGACTTCACGTCCCCTCTCCAGCTGAGTTCTAAAGTCTGATATGCTCCTGGAACACATAATTGGACGGGGAACACCCTTGCTTAAAACCTTCTGTGGCTAGGACTGACTAGATCAGGCCCATACTTCCACGTTTAGCAGGAGAGGCCTTTCACAGACCAACAGTGCCTACCCTACCAACCTCATCTCCTGCCACCCTGCCTCATATGTATATATATATATAAAACAGCTTTATTGAGATATAGTTTACATACCATAAAATTCACCCACTTTGTACTATGCAATGATTTTTAGTACATTTCCTTAGTTGTACAACCATCACTACAATCTGATTTAGGACATTTCCATCACCCTAATTTCCATGCCTCTGTGAAGGAAGGAAAAAAAAAGTATGGCTAACTGCTGAGGGCTGTGTTGACACTGAGAGGCGCGTTCTCTCCATAAACCCGCTTTTAATTTCCCCTAAATCCAGGGCCCTGGGTTTTCCCGCACTCTGAATCCGGTTTCCTCCTCTGCCCACCATTTCAGATTGCTTTTTCAATCGAGACAAATCTATTAGGGACGACAATTTTAGTACTGTTCTCAGGACATGATCGAGGGACATTTAGATGTCTCTGTTTCATAATCTATAAAAAGACAAATTTTAAAAATTCCCTAAACCAGTGCTTTGGCGTTTCTCGCCCGCTCTCCCATCCCCCATTCTGGCTCGCTGCGGGGAACCACATGAGATCATCAGTTCTGATTGGTTGATAGCGACGGATGGGGCTTGCTGATTGGGCAGTGTTCCTCTTTGTTCCTGGAAGCCCAGGCAAGTTCCTTACCGTACTTGCTTCTTTTCCACTTGTCTTTGAAGAGTTGTAATATCATTGCTTGCCTACCCGTATCCAGTTACTAGAGGCAAAAGTGGGGAAAATACATTGTCGACCTGAGGCAGTTACGGGTATATGCAAATATGGTAGTAAATTTTGCTTTCAATTCCTGCGATCGTGCAATTCACGGGTCTCTCAAAACTACAGCATTGAACTAGCAGACTCAAGCGCTGTGGCTATCGACTGAGACAGCTCCTTTTTGAGTAGATGGGTGGCCCTGAAAAGGGCCTTTGGTTGAGTAATGCAAAGTCCTGGTAGCAAAGTCGTAAAGTTTAGCCGCCGAAGCCATAGAGAGTGCGTCCCTGACGCTTGAGCGCGTAGACGACGTCCATGGCGGTGACCGTCTTGCGCTTGGCGTGCTCGGTGTAGGTGACGGCGTCCCGGATCACGTTCTCCAGGAAGACCTTGAGTACACCACGGGTCTCCTCATAGATGAGGCCAGAGATGCGCTTGACGCCGCCGCGCCGGGCCAGCCGCCGGATGGCGGGCTTGGTGATGCCCTGGATGTTGTCCCGCAGAACTTTGCGGTGGCGCTTGGCGCCTCCCTTACCCAGACCCTTCCCGCCTTTGCCGCGTCCAGACATTGTCCTCCCAGAAGCGAACCAACAGCAAGTAACAAAGAAGCAGAGAGCCGATCCTTATATAACCACTTCCCCCGCCCCTAGCAGTTATAGAGAATTGAAAGCGCGCAGGCGGGAAATGTGACGACAACAGTCCCCGCCTTTAATCCCTCCTCCAATCCCCGGAAACTCGCAGGGGGAGGAACAGAGCCCAGTTTGACCATTGGTCTTTGCTTCCTTCACTAGGCTACATTGTTTTAACTGCTTCGAGGAACTAGGCTTAAAGTAAATTCGTTGTGATTCCAAAAATATTCTAAATAGGAGAGAAGAAATACTTAAAAAGATCATTTCACAATAATTAATTTCGGCAATCTTAAAATTAGCAAGATCAAAAAAAGAAATGTAAGATGAGTAGTCTATGGTTAATGACAAACTAGGTTTTTAAGACATTTGACTTGTCCATATCTAATCGTTTTATTAAAAGGCCGTTTATACTATTACTGTTCGTCTGCTTTACAACTGATGCTCAAGACGCCATATTTAATGCTCTTCAAATGCCAATTCTTTCGCATCTTTCTGAAAACTAACTGGCTCTTTATTACGACGTAAGCAGTACTACTTAACATTTATAAAGGGTCAGTTCGCATATGCAGTGATTAGAAAAAAGTAAGCACCCATAACGCGGCAGTGTTGTCGATGCATATCCTTTCATTATCCCCTTTCATTTTCAGGGATATGGCTAGTTATATTAAACGACGAGTTGGTAACTAGTAATTTTTTACAGCCACTTTACTTGAGAACGTGGGTGGCTCTGAAAAGAGCCTTTGGTTGGAATTAAGTTGGCAAAAAAAACCAGTAGTGTAACTAATTACGCCCGCTCTCCACGGATGCGGCGAGCGAGCTGGATGTCTTTGGGCATGATGGTGACGCGCTTGGCGTGGATGGCGCAAAGGTTGGTGTCCTCGAAGAGCCCCACCAGGTAGGCCTCGCACGCCTCCTGCAGCGCCATCACGGCCGAGCTCTGGAAGCGCAGGTCGGTCTTAAAGTCCTGCGCGATCTCGCGCACCAGGCGCTGGAAGGGCAGTTTACGGATAAGTAGCTCTGTAGATTTTTGGTAGCGGCGGATCTCGCGCAGCGCCACCGTGCCAGGCCGGTAGCGGTGGGGCTTCTTTACGCCGCCGGTGGCGGGCGCGCTCTTCCGAGCTGCCTTAGTAGCCAGTTGCTTGCGCGGCGCCTTCCCTCCAGTGGACTTACGAGCAGTTTGTTTAGTTCGAGCCATACCTAGCAGTAGCTATAAAAACACAGCGAACAGCCACACAAATATGTCACTCACAAGCATTGCTAGTATTTATAGTGCATACGGTGTAGTGATTGGATGAGAAAAATATTTAAATATGTTCCAGGCTCTGATTGGCTTATCTTTAAAACTTCCAACAACTGTGCAGTTTCATTGGTCACTAGGTTCCATCTTCAATTCTTCAAATTTATGTTCCCTTCTTCCACATCTGATTTTCATAATCTGAATGCAATGCTTTGAGCATTACTTTTTCATAAAACTAAAGACATTGACTTCATTGATACTGTAGTTCTCCGATTCTGTATATTTCTTTAGTTCTTGGGAGGAAAAAATTAAAGGAATATTGCCCCTAATGATGTACTCTTTGCCCTCCCCGATCGATAATCCGATATCGGGTTACAAATTTCCGAAACCTTTTCCAAAAACGAGATCCGTTTGTAATGCTTAAATTGATAAATTTCTTTGCAACCTACAAGACATAACATACTTTCAAGCATAGTAAAATCACACTAGCGTCTGCACAAATATTTCCTATCAGGCATCTTTTTGTTAAGTGTTCATGCTCTGACTTCTACACTTGAAGCTTTCTGAAACTTCTGTTTTGTAATGCCTGGAGTCCATCCTGCCAGCTGCAAAATGGAGGTGACTGTCAAGTTCTCCAGCACCGCCGCTGGGTACACAAAGCGCGCCAGCCCCAATGGTTCCCAGCAGTTGCTCTTGCGGAGCAGGCGATGGACTCCGCCCAATAACTGGATTCCAACTGGCAATAAGGACAAGTTATCATTGCCAAAAGCTGATTTTATAGCTCTTTTAAAAATTTCAAGCTTGAAAACACCGAATGTGATCCTTTTATAATAAGATGAGGTAGACCAGATTCTACCTTTTGATTGGTTGGGTCTATTAACTGAGTAGCCACTAAGAAAGCCGATCTAGCATCCTTCATTTGCATAGAAAGTTTCCATTTTAAGCCAACAGACACATAGAAGGCAAAAACCATTATTTCAACGAGAGACTCCTGAATCCAGCATTTCAGTTTTAAAAGCTGCGTTTGATTAGAAACCTCCTTTATTACTCTTAAGAAAGTTTTTTTAAAAATGTTCATTTACGAAACATTCTGGCCTTGGAGGAAAATTGTTTATTTGTGTTACTGTTCTTCAACCTAAGAGGCATAGTTCCAATTGTTCTCTTCCAAATTCTCAAAAATTCCATGATGCCTTTTGAAAACATAGACGCAAAAAAATGGGAAGTAGGAAAGGGTGGTAGAGAAAATGGACGAATGTGCGTCTGGGACCATTACATTATTGGCCGCAAGCTGGTAACAAGCTCTTACGTTGTTTGAGGGAAACCTGGGAAGCTCGGGTTGTTTAGGCCAGGTGCGGACTTGTTTGAAAACCGCAGTGGCGCGCGCGGGAATGAGACGTCACTGCCGCCTTCTCCCAGCCGCTAGGCGATTGCCCAGAGCAGAGTTGTGAGAGGGAATGTTGGTTACCCAGCATAGGGTTGTGAGAGGGGCATTGTATTCTCTCAGTTAGTCTGGTTCCCAATGTGAAATCGTTTTCGCATCGTTGACGCTGTTAAGTGCTCTTTACAGCCACAAACAAAGGAAGATTGTTCTAAAATGTTCCCCCGGGGCTGTGCCCTCCCGCTTTCATACAAAGGCAACCTAAACCCCCTGGCACAATGCCTATCAAGAAACCGTTTACTCCACCCAGCGCTTATTTAGTGCCTGTCGTTTGCCAGATTTTAAACTATATAAATCTTTGTTGAATACAATATGCTGACAGGAAACACGAGTTATAAACGGTAGCGCCTGTTTGGGGTATGTTGTAAGGATGAAAAGATAGCGAAGATTCATGAAGTGCATTGGTCTAGAAATAAGTTGCAATTATAGAAATTGTTTGCATATTGTTTTCCACATGTGCAGCTTCAGTGTTAATAGCGGTGTTAACGAGTTCCGCTGTTTTCTACAATTCTCCTTTGACCAAAATGTCTTCACCAGATATATCGCTCTTCAGCGAAAGGCAGGAAAGGCAATGGCATTTATGAGAACTGTCCTAAACCCGCAGGCGAGGCCTACACCCCCTTGCTTTCCTCTCTCCTGCCCCAACCATTCAAGACACAATGTTATGTTTATTGCAAATTAGAAACGAATGTCCCTGACAATACTTCCTCTAGGTGAAGTTTCAGGTGAAACTCCTTGGATTCTTACATGATTGCCTCACTTACAAACAGCTCTTTACCACCACCCCAAACCCTGAAAAAGAAAAAAAAGAACTTTAAAGAGAAGCAGCACCCTCTGGTGTTAATGGACGGCAGAGCCCGACCCTTTCCTACAGTTATTTCCGTCTTCATGAAGCGCGTGGGGTTGCTGTCTGGAGGCCTTAGCGCGCGCTGCAGGAGAGCGGGACAATAGGCCCCAGCCGCCCGCGGTTCCCTTCCGACACAGGGCGAGGAGGGCAGCGGCACAGGGGGCGCTAGGGTGCCAGGGGCGGGCGCCAGCGCGCACCAATCACAGCACGGCCCCGCCCTATAAATACGCTCGCGCCGGGGCCTCAGGCGTCTTTCTGCCTTGTCAGGTTCTAGTGGTTTATTCGGTGTTTTTCCGCTGTCGTCATGTCTGAGGCCGCGCCGCCGGTTCCAGCTGCTGCTGCTCCCCCTGAGAAGCCTGCAGCTGGCAAGAAAGTGAAGAAGCCTGTGAAGGCTGCAGCTGCTGCCAAGAAAAAGCCTGCAGGCCCTTCTGTGTCAGAGCTGATTGTGCAGATCGTCTCCTCCTCTAAGGAGCGCAATGGTGTGTCCCTAGCCGCGCTTAAGAAGTCGCTGGCAGCTGCTGGTTACGATGTGGAAAAGAACAACAGCCGCATCAAGCTGGGCCTCAAAAGCCTGGTGAGCAAGGGTACTCTGGTGCAGACGAAAGGCACTGGCGCCTCGGGCTCTTTCAAGCTCAACAAGAGAGGGGCCTCTGGAGAAGCTAAGCCCAGCACCACAAAGGTGGCAGCGAAAACTAAGGTAATGAGTGCTTCTAAGAAGCCCAGGAAGGCCACAGGGCCTGCTGTTAAGAAAGGTGTCAAGACTGCGAAAAAGGCCAAGAAGCCTGCAGTGCCGAAGAAGCCCTCGAAGAGTCCCAAAAAGCCCAAGGTCGTGAGAGCTAAGAAAGTAGTTAAGAGCCCTGCCAAAGCAAAGGCTGTGAAATCCAAAGCGACCAAGGCAAAGGGGACCAGTTCAAAGACGGCTGCCAAGCCCAAGAAGGCAGCGCCCAAGAAAAAGTAAAAGTTGCAGTTGGAAGCTCATTCTAATAACCCAACGGCTCTTTTAAGAGCCACCAACGTATTTCAAAAGAAGAGCTTGAGTACACAGGTCTGGTTCAGTATAGATGAAACTCGATCTCATGCAAATGCAGAGTGCTTTCTAAACTAGTCTTGGCTCCATATCAGAGTCTAGTTTGAGGTTTACATAAATTCTCACTGGGGTTCCAAGTTAATTTCTGCCTACTAGATAAAGCTTCCTTAGAAATCCCAGGTGGCTTCAAATGCAGCCAAGTATGGGAGCCACTTCTCTAGTCCTCTGTCTTGCGAGAAGTCTACAACTCCGCGTGTACTTAATAGCTGGGGAACTCGTTGAGCCTACCCTGAGGTCCCACACCCCAAACTAATCAACCATCAATGGCAACTACCTTTAGCCGTGATTCAAGTCCTGTCCCAGGCTAGGGGCATGTACCACGTGCTCATTTGTATACTCAAGATTTACTTGGTGGTCTCATCCGTGCAGGGGACACTGCGTTCTCAGGCGGCAATATTGCTAAAACGGCCTTTTCCTAAATTAGATGGCCCTGAGAAATGCTTTTGGGGTAATTGGCGAAACCTATGGCTTAACCACGCCCTCTGCAAACGTGGCGGGCGAGCTGTCCTTGGGAATGCCGGTGTCTCACTCGTCTACATTGGTATCCTCGAGAGCCCCACCAGGTAGGCTTCGCATGCCTCCTTCGGCGCCCTCATGGCCAAGCCCTGACGGTGCAGGTCGTCCTTGCTTGCTTGGCGCCTTACCCTGGGTCGATTTTCGGGCTGTCCTCTAGTTTCCGGCCAAAGTCAGGACAATGGAATTTTAGAGCTAAAGCCCGAAAGCTTTTACCCGGTTTCTCTGTGTATAGAAACAGAACTGCCCTGATTGGATAATATTTGAAAATCCCACTCTGTACCTAACTAGATCGTATTTCATCGTGTGCAGGGTTTTGGATCCTAGTGGCGCTACACCACGTTAAGTACTTGGGGACACTGTTGCAGAATTGCCCTCTTAAGCTTTTGAAGTTTTAATCCGAGGTTTCAGATTTTAATAACATCTTTTTTGTATCCGAGAAAAAAAACAGTATATGACGAGCCAGCTTTACTCACTTTTACTTAATGCAGCTCAATTAGTTGTAAAACTTTATTTTTACATATGAGCATACAAATTCTTCAATCACTATTCTATTTTTTTAATGGTACTTTTTTTTTCCATTGTTTTGCTCGGCTCTCTCCATCCGTTAAGACCCGCCATATAGGCTCTTCACATCCCTGCTCCCCCTCCCTCAAACTGGTATGTAGCTATTCATGTTTTCCTTTGAATTCAATCTTTTACGTACACCTATCCATACACATTCCTGATTATTTTATTTTTCGGTTAGGGTTGTTATTATTTACAAAATGGTGATAATATATACACTTCCCTGCATCTTCCTTTTCTCTTTTAACAAAACCTCTCGAAAATCCTTTCAAATCAAATCTTTTTTTTAATGTCCTTCATGTGGAGTAGCATAGTTTATTCATAGATTTCCTATTGATAAGCATTGACGTTGTTTCCATTTACCACTGCTGACCATGGTGCAATAAACAATAGAATTCCAACACTGAAATTGCTGATTAGAGTGTATTTTAAATTTCAGCTGGTGCTGACATATCCTGAAAATAGCTCCCCCTCCTCCATTCCAACCATCAAGTTGTGGTCTCATGAATTTCTGCCAATCTAAAGCGTGTAAAATTATTTCACATTGTCACTTTGATTTGCATTACCATGGCCACTCGTGCATCCTTTCTTTAGGTTATTGGTTATTCGCATATGCTCTTCAGAGAAACCCCACTTATATCTCTTTGCTCATTTATTCATTGGGCAATTTATTTTTTTCTTGTCCAATTGTGTTTTTTATATAATAGAGAAATGAAAGTTATACTTATCACCTGTGTTGCATATAGTTTTCTAATTTTGGCATTTTTTTCCATAGTTTCTTTGTTTATCGTGTATTTTCCATTTATATATTATATAAAATTTATTAGATATATATACAATTTTGATGTTAACTATTTTAATCACAAATGTATCTTTTCTTTATAGCTTCTAGATTTCCACTCGTGGTTAAAAAACTGAGCCCCACCCCTCCATTATTCATTCAGCCTTCTACATTTTCTTCTAAAAAATTTTGCTCCTTAAAAAAATTTTTGGTCTCTAATCCATCTAGAATTTATTTTATTCTAGTTAAAGATAGAATCTGAGTTTAATTCTCCTCAGATGGATGGCCAGTTGTTCTAGCCTCATTTATTAAATAATCCACCCCTTTCTCCCACTGAACTAATATATCACCTTTATTTATTAAATTCTTATTAATGGGATCTATTTCTGTATTCTTCTTCTTTTCCATTGATCTCTCCATATAAGTCATGTACCTTTCTTAATTCTATTCCTAATCGATTTCTATGCTTGTTTCTATTGTGAATGGAATGCTCTTCTCTCTTTGTTTTTTTATTTAAAATTTTTCCCCCCCCAAAGCCCCAGTACATAGTTGTATGTCATAGCTGCACATCCTTCTAGTTGCTGTATGTGGGATGCGGCCTCAGCATGGCCGGAGAAGCAGTGCGTCGTGTGTGCCCGGGATCCGAAACTGGGCCGCTAGTAGCGGAGCACGCGCACTTAACCACTAAGCCATGGGGCTGGCCCAAGGAATGCTCTTCTCATTTCCTTTTTTTAGTTCTTACTGCGAGGAAGGAAGAAATGTAATGATGTATTACATCCAGTAAATTTGCCAATTTCTGTAATTCTACTTTCCTTTCTTTACTCTTAAAAACCTAGAGCCCCTTGAGTTTTTCCTAGTCATCAGCAAAATAATTTTGTTTTCTTCAATGTGAATACCAATCATTTCATTTTCTTTTCATACTGCATTTGCCAAGAATTTCCAAAGTACAGTTGAATGATAATTTTAGCAGGCATCCCTTTTTTAGTTCTTGGTTTTAATGAACATGGTATCAAAGTGTTTGTTCTTTAGGGTAATATTTGTTAGTAATTTTTGGTGTCTTCATTATATTTAAATGGTTACCCTCAATTCCTATTTCACTTTTTTAAAAAAATTTTGAATGGCTGCTAGATTTTCTTCATGTATTAATATGATCGTATGGTTTTTCTGTTTTAATTTGTTCAGTGCTTTTTAGACATTAAGCCCTCAAACTCAATGTGGCTGAAAGAATGAACTAGAAGAATGAGATGTGTTTTTCTAAGATGGTCATTTATAAGAGAGAAGTAGGCGTGTTGTGGTGGATTTGGGGGAAGGTGACTCAGAAATTCTGTTGTGAAGTTTTGCAGAGTCTATGAGATTACCAAATGGATGAGGGAGTAATCAACTGGGTTCAAATGCTGCTGATAGACTGAAGTGAGTAGAAGCCTGAAAATAGTCCCCTGGTTTCACAGTATGAAGATCACTGGTAGCTTTCACAAGAGTAGTTTTGGGGAGGATGAAGTTGCATTGAGGTAGAGCTGTAAATTTGGAAGTCACTGGTATATGGATGTCATTTAAAGCCATGAGACTGGGCGAGGTCACCAAGGGGGTGAGTGAGGTAGAGAAGAGTATAAAGAAAGGGGAAAGGACTGAGTCCTGAGGCATCCAACATCAAAGGCAGAGGAGGCCTGGCCCTGACCATGTATCATAGATAAATCTGAATAATTATTCTACCTCTTTGTGCTTCCATTTGCCTATTTAAAAGTAAAGGGGTTGGATTAGAGCAGTGTTTTTCATGGCCTGTTAGCAATAGAGTAGAATAGAACATATTAAAGTGTGACACATTATAAAAGTAAATATGGCTTCCTGGAATTTAGGTTTTAGGCACACATGTTGTTGGGCACATGTATGCATGTTCTGGGTCATGAAGAATGTGTTTCTTATTGAGGTCACAGTCAAAGAAGTCTGAAAACCAGTGGTCAAGATGCTCACTGTGGTTTTTTGTGTGTGTGTGAGGAAGAGCAGCCCTGTGTTAACATCAGCCAATCTTCCTCTTTTTTTGCTGAGGAAGACTGGCCCTGAGATAACACCCGTGGCCATCTTCCTCCACTTTATATGGGATGCTGCCACAGCATGGCTTGCCAAGCAGCGCGTGGGTGCGCGCCCCAGATCCGAACCAGCAAACCCTGGGCCGCTGCAGCGGAGCATGCGCACTTAACCGCTTGCGCCACTGGACTGGCCCCCTCACTGTAGTTTTTCACAATTCCAAGAGTCTATTGTTTTAATAGCTGTTCTGACCACAGAATTATATCAGATCTAACATTTATATGAAAGTGTAGAGACTTGAAATCAAGATCTCAGAGATCTTTCTGAGACAAGCAGGTAACAGTAGTGACACAGAAACTGTTCCTTTTTCTTTCAGGTAACATTGGTTTATAACAGTATGTAGGTTTCAGGTGTAGAACATTCTAATTCAACATCTCTATATACTACAGCGTGCTCACCACCAAAAGTCTAGATTCTCGTCTTTACTAATTGGTCTAATTGTTCCTGCCAGTGGGGCTTTTGGAAGGGAAAGAAAAGAGGGAGGGGCAGAGAAAAACCGCAGGAGATTATATAACTGCCAGGATTGAAAATCAGTGGGGCCTCCTTAAAACGGTATAATCCAGGGGCCGGCCGCTGGCGTAGTGGTTGAGTTCCGCGTGCTCCGCTTTGGCAGCCTGGGTTCCCGGTTGGCACCTACACCACTCGTCAGCCATGCTGAGGTGGTGACCCACATACAAAATAGAGGAAGATGGGCACAGATGTTAGCTCAGGGCCAATCTACCTCAAGCTAAAAAGAAGAAGATTGGTAAAAGGTGTTAGCTCAGGGCCCATCTTCCTCATCAAAAAAAAAAAAAAGTCCATCTTTACTTCCAATGATTAGAAATGCTGTCTTTATTGTATATGTACAAAATTCCTATATTGTCTATTTCTGGACTTTCCTGTATCAGTCTTTCTATTCAAGTCGTTCTGTCTATTCAAGCACTAGTACCACATTGTTTTAATTGAGGATTGATGACTTTGTAAAATATGATAAAGATCATCCACCCTTCCTGTTCTTATTTTTCAATTTTAGGGCAATCATAGGGCAATTCCAGCTTTTCAAAGAATTGTGGAATGCTTAGAGCTATAGAAGCCTTGGAAATCATTTAGTTTTTGTTTTTTTCAGGGAAAATTCTGTAGAGACTGTCCTGCTCTCTGAACTCCACCCCACAGCATCTCCTATCAGCTGTTAAAGGCCAATAATATCTTAAAAGCAGTATGCTTTTACCTCGAATCTATGCTGAGCCACAGTCAATGCAAACCAGTGGGAAGGAAACTGGAAAAAGTTTTATGATCTAAGAATCAATGGGTGATCTCTTTGAATTAATTTATCACACCCTCCTCCAAACTTGATGGAGGGGCACGGTGCCTCCCTTTCCACATGGGGACTCCTAACTACAAAGGAAGTAGATAAGGAGGCTGGTAAAATACTCTCATTCAGGTGCGTAAGAAGAAGTTGAAACAGGTTTGATAAACAGCCATTCTCTGCCACACTTCTGTATGTTTCCGTGTTTTTTAAAGGAGTATTTGCTTATTTGTTGACTCTTCAGAGAGAGTGCAAGGTCCAAGTGTGCAAGGTCCAAGTGTGCAACTCTAGACTCTGTCCCTTTCTACCCAGTGGTGTTCTGCTTCTTTAAAACAAGAACCAGAGGTATGTGGGAAGTGACCCATAAATGTGCACTTTCATATGGCCCACAATGGGGAGAAAAGGTACCATTGGAAATAGGATTAGGTCAATGACAGTAGCAACTCCCAAAAAACCTGGTGGGTTGATTTTATCCTTTATTTATAAAGCTGTTATTATGCTGTATGATCTTTGGTTGTGCAGTAAATACATATTCACTATTTCAATATTGATAAATGAAAAAAAAAAGTGAGTAGCAGTTAAGCAACCCATAAACCTACCTATAAGGCCAATTGGAGATTTTACAACTTATTCTGGATGCTTAAAACCCTTCTCATTGAAAACATTTTCCTTAGTAGAAGATTCCAACATATTTTAAACTTTTTTTTTTAAATTGGGAAATATATAAAGAAAAAATCATAACAAAACACAAATGTAAAGTTCAATGAATGATCAAAACGTGAACACCATTGTAACCATCACACAAGTCAAAAAATAGAACATCAGCCAGAGTCTCCTCACACGTGCTTCCAATCAGAAACTCCTCCATCTTCCCTAAATGTAACCACTATCCTGATTTCGAACACTATAATCTAGTTTGCCTGGTTTGGAATCTTATATAAAATGGAAATCAAACAATGTGTAGTCTTTTGTGCCTGGTATTTTTCACTCAAAACATCAGGTTTGACAGATTCATCTGTGTTTCTGTGTATAACTGTGATTCATTAATTTCTATTGTGTAATATTCCTTTTTATGAATACACCATAAATTAGGTATCTATTTCACTGTTCATGGACATTTGAGTTGTTTCTCTTTTTCAGCGATTACAATCAATGCCATGAACATACCTGTGTATGTGTTTAGGTACAGAGGTGGACACATACCTGTTGTTTGTATACCTAGGAGTGGAATCACTGGGTCAAATGCTAAACTCTTTTTTTTTTTTTTTTTTTTGCTAAAGAAGATTTGGCCTGCGCTTACATCTGTTGCCAGTCTTCCTCTTTTTGCTTGAGGAAGATTTTCCCTGAGCTAACATCTGTGCCAATCTTCCTCTATTTTGTATGTTGGTTGCTGCCACAGCATGGCAGCTGCCGAGTGGTGTGAGTCCACGCCCGGGAACCAAACCTGGGCCGCCGAAGTGCAATGTCCTGAACTTAATCACTAGGCAATGAGGCTGGCCCCTAAACTCTTTTTGAAAGTGGTTGTACCAACTTACATGCAATGGAATGAAAAATGAATGAAAATTAAGACCATAGTAATAAACAGAGTTGGATGAACCTCACAAACCTAATATTGAGTAAAATTCAGATGAGAATTTCTGTTGTTCCACATCCTTCCCAATTGTTTTTTTTTTTTTAATTGAAATTGTTAGTCTTTTTTAATTGTAGTGGCAGGTGTGCAGTGGTATCTCATTGTGGTTTGTTTTGCATCTCTTGCCCATTTTTCTGTTGCGTTGTGTTTTAAACTGTTTGAGCTGCCATAACAGCTTCTGTGGCCTAAACAACAGAAATTTATTTTTTCACAGGTCCAGAGGCTAGAAGTCCCAAATCAGAGTGCTGACAGATTTGGTTTCTGGTGAGAGTGCTCTTCTTGGCTTGCCGATGGCCACCTTCTCATTGCGTCTTCATGTAGCCTCTTCTTTGTGCATGTGGGGAGACAGAGTGGCAGGGATCTGGTGTATCTTCCACTTCTTATAAGGACACCAGCCCTATCAGATTAGGGGCCCACCCTTATGACCTCATTTAACCTTAATTACCTCCCTAAAGGGCCCATCTCCAAATACAGTCACATTAGGGGTTAGGGCTCCAACACACGAATTTGGGGAAGAACACAATTCAGTCCATAACAGGTTGTTTTTGGTTTTTCACTAGTTTAAAATAGTTGTTTTTCTCTTTTTAATTCTGGGCACAAGCTCTTTGTCCATTTATGTGTTGCAGGCATCTTCTCCTACTCTGAGACTTGTCCTTTTACTCTTTCAAGGATATCTTTTGATGAATAAAATTTGTTCATTTAATTTACTTCAACTAATTATTCTGTTTATTTATATTACAGCTTTTTTATGTCTTGTTTAAGAAATCATCCTCTATCTCAAGGCCATGAAGATCTTATCTTCTTGTGAAGTTAGGGGAACGGCACACAGTCCCCAAGACTGCCCTCACTTCTGACACCAATTGCAAGTTTGGGGGCTTCCCAACTACCCTTAGGTTCAGTAATTTGCTAGAAGGACTCACAGAACTTGCTGAAAACTGTTATACTCAAAATACAGTTTATTACAGTGAAAAGACACAGATTAAAATCAGCCAAGGAAAGAACCACAAATGGCAGTATATGGGTTGAATTGTGTCCCACCACACTTCCCAAAAAAGATATGTTTAAGTCATAATCCCTAGTCCCTCAGAATGTGATCTCATTTGGAAATAGTTACATTGCAGATGTAACTAAGTTAAGAATAGTGGAATAGAATGGGCCCATAATCCAATATGACTGGTGTCTTTATAGGACGATGGCTATATGAAGACAGAGACATATAGGGAGAACACCATGTGATGACAAAGGCAGAGATTGGAGTTATGCAGCTATCAGCCAAGGAACACCAAAGATTGCTAGCCAACCACCAGAAGCTAGGAAGAGGCAAGAAAGGATTCCTCTACAGGTTTCAGAGGGAGCATAGCCCTGCCAATACCTTGTTTTCAGATTTCTAGCCTCTAGAACTGTGAGACAATAAATTTTTGTTGTTTTAAGCCACCCAGTTTGTGGTACTTTGTCACAGCAGCTCTAGAAAACTAATACAGGCAGAGTCCAAGAAAGTTCCAAATGCAAGCTTCCAGTCGTCCTTTCCCAGCATTAATATGTGACAATCACATGGACTATTGCCAACCAGGAAAGCACACCTGAGCCTTAGTGTCCAGAGTTTTTATTGGCGCTCCATAGACGATTAGTCATATGGCTGACCTTTAGTCTCCAGCCCTCTAAAGGTAGAGCAGACACTGTGTGGCCCAAAGCTCCCATTATACATCACATTGTTGAATGTCTAGTGGCCAAG